GTGGTCCCAGCTACTTGGGAGGCTGAGGCAGGAGACTCGATTGAGCCCAGGAATTAGAGGTTGCTGTGAGCGTGATGCCATGGCACTCTACCCAGGGGGATAGCTTGAGGCTCCATCTCAAAAAAAAAAGGAATTTTGAACATCACCTACTTCCTTGGCCGTGGAAACTGAGAAGCTGTTCTCGCCAATAGTAGTATTATAGACACTCAGTTCTTCACACTATGTTTGTATTTTTTAAAATATTTTTATAAATACAAAAATATTTATAATTTTATATGAATTAAAAACTCACAAAATATAGTGACAGTCTTTATGTCATTATAAAAGCATCAGCATAACAGGAACATATAATAATTATAAAGATGTATGAACTCAACATAAAACACCTAAATGTATAAAGCAAACGTTGACAGATCTGAAGAAAAAAATAGACAGCAATAAATAATAGTAGAAGGTTCAGTTTCCCACATTTAGTAATGGATAGATTATCCAGGTGAAAAATCAGTATGAAAACCCATAGACATAAACAACACTACAGACCAAATGAACCTAATAGACATTGAAAACTTTTTACTCTGGGCGGCACCTGTGGCTCAGTGGGTAGGGTGCCTCCCCCATATACTGAGGGTGGCAGGTTTGAACCCAGCTCCAGCCAGCTCAAATAGCAGTAACAACTGCAACAAAAAATAGCTGGGTGTTGTGGCGAGTGCCTGTACTACTTGGGAGGCTGAGCAAGAAAATCGCCTAAGCCCAGGAGTTGGAGGTTGCTGTGAGCTGTGACGTGATAGTACTCTACCAAGGGTGACAAAGTGAGACTCTGTCTCAAAACAAAACCTTTTACTCTATATCAGCATAATAACAATTATTTTCAAGTGCATAGAGAATATTCTCTAAGATGACATGCTAGGTCACAGAACAACTCTTAACAAATTAAAAATGCTTAAAGCATCCCAAGAATCTTTTCCAACCACAGTGAAACAAAACTAGGAATCAATAACAAATAGTAGAAGGAAAACTCACAAATACATAGAAATTAAACAACACGCACATGAACAAACGTGAAATCAAAAAGAAGTTAAAAAAAATTACAAAATATCTCAAAAAACTGAAAAAAAAAAAACAAAGCACCAAAACCTATGAAATAGAGCAAAAGCAGTATTAAGAGGGAAGTTTATAGTGAAAATACATACAGCAGGTGAAAAGAAAGATCTCAAAAGTACAACCTAACTATATATCTAAGTAGAAAAAAAGAACAAACTAAGTTTAAAGTTAGCAGAAGGAAGAAGATAATAAAGATTAAAACAGAAATGAAGAATAGAAGAACAATAGAAAAAATCCATTGGCTCAGCACCCGTAGCGCAGTGTTTACCATGCTGGCCACATGCACCAAGGGTGGCAGGTTTGAATCTGGCCCAGGCCAGCTAAACAACAATGACAAGTGCAACCGAAAAATAGCAGGGCATTGTGGCAGATGCCTGTAATCCCAGCTACTTGGGAGGCTGACACAAGAGAATTGCTTAAGCCCAAGAGTTTGAGGTTGCTGTGAGCTGTGATGCCACAACACTCTACCAAGGGTGAGATAATGAATCTCTGTCTCAAAAAAAAAAAACAATGAAACTAGAATTTATGAACTGAAAAATACTTTTATCAACAAAAGTTGTTAAATTTATCTGATTTCTTAATTTTGTATTCCTTCAAACACTTGTTTTCTTTTTTCATGGTTACTCTAAAACTTAAGAAAACTTTAATGTTTATAGTTTTATGATCTATTTCTAGTGGTGGTTTGATTTCTAGATTTTTAGAAAGTATCTATTTTTAGAAGTATTTTAGAATTTTATCATGGCAATGTAAAGTGGAAGTTTTCTATTTCAAAGATAATGAATTAAAAATTTTCTTCAGTTCCATGCCTGTAGCTCAAGTGGCTAAGGTTCCAGCCACATACACCAGAGCTGGTAGGTTCAAATCCAGCCCAGGCCTGCGAAAACAACGACAACTACAACCAAAAAAAAAAAAAAAAAAGCCAAGCATTGTGGTGGGTGCCTGTAGTCCCAGCTACTTGGGAAGCTGTGGAAAGAGACTCTCTTAAGCCTAGGAGTTGGAGGTTGCTGTGAGCTGTGATGCCATGGCACTAGACCCAGGGTGAAAGCTTGAGGCTCTGTCTCAAATAAATAAATAAATAAATAAATTTTTCTTAAAATTAAACAACTTCCATAATTTTTAAGTTTCCTGGTCTGAAATGATGTAATAATATTCGGGTTTAAGTGGTCCTAATAATTTTGTTTTTGTTTTCAATTTCATTTAATTCTGCTCTAATTTTGGTTATTTCTTTTCTTCTGCTGGGTTTGGGATTGGAATGTTTTTCCTTTTCCAGTTGTTTGAGATGTCCCATTAAGCTGTTTAATTCTTCTCTTTCTGTTCTCTTGAGGAAGGCTTTCAGTGCTATAAATTTCCCTTTTAGAACTGCCATTGTGGTATCCCAGAGGTTCTGATAATTCTTGTCTACATTATTGTTTTGTTCCAAAACTTTGGTAATTTCCTTCTTTCTTTCTTTCTTTTTTATTAAGTCATTTGTACATAGATCATAAATACATTTATGCCATTATGGGATTCAATGTGTTGATTATTTGTACAAATTGGAGTGCTTACATCCTACTAATCAACGTAGCCTTCACCTCATTTACCCAATTACAGTGTTAAGACATTTGTGTCCTACACCTGATAGATCCAACTTGTACTTACAATATGCTCCATAGGTGTGGTCCCGCTACTAACCCTCCCTCTATCGACCCACCCCACTACCTTCCCCTCTCCCTCCCCTTCCCTCCTTCATCTTAGGCTATAGTTGTGTTTCATTTTTCATATGCAAGTGTGAGTGGTTGTAAATTGGTTTGACAGTAGTACTGAGTACATTGGATATTTTTTTTCTATTCCTGAGATACTTTACTAAGAAGAATATTTTCCAGCTCCATCCATGTAAACATAAAGAGGTAAAGTCTTCATTTTTTACTGCTGCATAGTATTCCATGGTATACATATACCACAATTTATTAATCCATTCATGGGTCGATGGGCACTTGGGCTTCTTCCATCACTTGGCAATTATGAATTGAGCTGCAATGAACAATCTGTTGTAAATAACTTTATTGCCAAATGATTTTTGGTCCTTTGGATATACACCTAGAAGAGGAAATGCAGGATCAAATGGCAGGTCTACATTTAAATCCCTGAGTGGTTCCCAAACTTCCTTCAAAAAGGGATGTACTAGCTTGCATTCCCACCAGCAGTGCAGAAGTGTTCCCTTTTCTCCACATCCATGCCAACACCCTGCTATTTTTCTTTAAAAAAGAAAACTTTAATGTTTATAGTTTTATGATCTATTTCTAGTGGTGGTTAGCAATCTCTGCTATTGGGATTTTGTGATGTGGGATACTCTTACTG